TGACAGTGGCAAAGCCTCCCGCCCGAACTTGGGATATTAAGTACTTCCCTCCTTCCTGTCTGGCAGCACACACTGCCACGAGGCTATTTCTGACACAACTCTATCGGCAGTCTATGACCCATTTCCCATTTCAAGGTTGTTGCCAAGTCTCAGCCACTTCTACAGCACTCCACCAAAAAACCGGATGCTGGACTTGTCCGGCATCCTTTCTCATGCATCCCCCACCCTGAGAGACCTTGTCAGATGTTTGTGTTTTAATTTACTGCTGTGTGTTTATCAGCTCAGTGGCAGTCTGTGATGTCAAGACAAAGCGAAACAAGGAGGGGAAAGAGAATAGCTAGAGCCCCTTTGGGATACGCGTTGTCTCCAACACATTTTTGGTATCACCTAGCAGGACAAAATTCCAAATAGAGTAGTCCTAGAACGAGCTGGAATTGTTAGCAAGTATACATTAATGAAAAAGCGATGTCTACGTTGGCTTGGGTATGTCGTGAGAATGGCTAACGGGCAGATTCCAAAATATCTCCTGTATGGAGAATCAGTGCAGGGAATTCACCCCAGAGGGAGACCACAGCGGCGATACAAGGAGATCTGCAAGCGGGATCTGAAGGCCTTAGGAATGGACCTCAACAGATGGGAGGCAGGCGGTGCATCACGGCCTCTCCCAATCTGAGGAGTCCCTTGTCCAGCAGTCAAAGAGGCCGTCCCGAAACCAGCCAAATCAGGGAGCTGGACAGGGGACAGATTGTATTTGTCTTCAGTGTGGAAGGGATGGTCACTCTCGAATTGGTCTTCTCAGCTGCACCAGACGCTGTTCCAAGACCTATATTCACAGCACGTGACCATTGTCTCTCAAAACTGTAGGATGCCTACAGAGCTCTTTGGTTAATCCAACCGTTCATGTCTTAAATAAAAAGGAATCTGTTTTGTTGGAGGAGCAAAGAGAAGAAAATAACAGCACTACTAGAAGCATGTTCTGTCGCAATGTTCAACCAGAGCAAACTCATCTGTTTTTGGAGGGGGAAACAAATACCAGGACTTTCTACCTGGGAATCTCCTATGTATCGGCAAAGAAAGTACGGGACCCTCAAGCTTCAAGTAGTTACTGCCATCCATGCCCCTAAACAGAGGTGAGGGAACTCAAGCCTTAAGACCCTCTTGGGTTCCCAAGGCAGCCCAAGGAAGAACCGCTGGACAGTTCAGGGATTTAGGTCTCTGGCTATGGAGCCGGAGGTTGGGAGTTCGATTCCCCAGTGGTATCAAGGAGGCTTGACAGGGGCTGGACCCGATGACCCATGGGGTGTCAGGGAGGCTTGACAGGGGCTGGACATGATGACCCATGGGGTCCCTTCCGACTCTGCTGTTCTAAGATGGTGGTGGTGGTAATTCAGTAGATAACCACGGCCCCCTTCCCTGCGGGCACCACATTTTGGCAACTTCCCAACCTATGTAGAGGCTTTCCCCCGTTCTAGAAGGTGGGAATCTCTCATGTCTAAAGCTGGGCAAAATAGGCTTCTTTATTTCAGCACACACTGAACGTCCTGGGGACATTGAGCCTCCGCTTGGTGTTCTCTGGGCTGTTTGTAGGTGGGATGTTGTCCGCTCAAATTTGTGGCTCTTCTACAAAACCCGGGGTTGCTCCAAACACACTGGTGTCTCCCTACACACACACACACTCAAAGTTTAGCCACATGTCCACTGTCTCTTAGCATGTAAATCCCCTGTTTACGATTTCGAGATATTGTCTCATGCACAGAGGTTTCTTTTAGTACTCCAGCATAATAGCCACAATGGCAGGAAGATTACAGATACCTTCGTCTCTTAGAAAAACGATGGCATAAGCCTTCCCACACCTATGGAACTCACAGAAATCACTGCCACTGATTTAGAAGAAAAAAATAGTGATTAGACAAGTCTTTGCTGTCTTTCTGCATGCAGGCCAAGACCTTTCTCTTCAGGCAAGCTTTTCCTCTGTGACCAGCTACCTGACTGGGAGTTTTGGAATGGACTGTTACGCCTTCCTGCTTTGAATGTGTTTTAGGAGTTGCTTTTGTTTACCATTTCCCGGAGTAGTACTAGGGGAGCAGTCCTTGACGAACGTATCATACAGAGGCCTCTGCGCAGGCACAGATTAAACCCATTACATCATAAAGCTCTGCGCAGGCACAGATTAAACCCATTAGTGTGCATTCACAGAGACCATGAAAAGCAGATTTTGCCCCTCCTCTATATAACTATCTTTCAAGTACAGTGGTGCCGCAGATTTTGCCCCTCCTCTGTATAACTATCTTTCAAGTACAGTGGTGCCTTGCATCGCGATCGCTCCGTTTTACGACTAAATCGTTTTGCAACGCTGTTTTTGCGATCACAAAAGCAATCGCTTTGCGATGTTTCCTATGGGGAAATTCACTTTGCGATGATCGCGGGGAAGCGATCATCGCAAAGCCCCATTTTTGGCCAGCTGATCGGCAGTTCCAAAATGGCCGCCAGGTAAACAAAATGGCCGCCCACTGTGTTGCCTCGCTTTAGAGGCACCGAAAATGGCCACCGCAATGGAGGATTTTCGCTTAAGGTTAGTTTTGAAGCCCATAGGAACGCATTAATGGTGTTTTAATGCGTTTCTATGGGCTTTTTAATATCGCTTAGCGATGTTATCGCTTTGCAGTGATTTTTTCTGCACGGATTAACATCGCTAAGCGAGGCACCACTGTACTTGAAAAGGGCTACCATATCTACCCTCAGTCTTCTTTTCTCAAGGCTAAACATGCCCAGTTCTTTCAGTCTTTCCTCCTAGGGCTTAGTTTCCAGCCACGTAATCATCCTTGATGACTTCCTCTGAACTTGTTCCAATTTGACAACATCCTTCTTGAATTGCGGTGTCCAGAACAGGACACGGTACTCAAGATGAGGCCTAACTAGTGTCAAACAGAGAGGAACCATTATCTCATGGGATTTGGAGACTCTCTGTTAATGCATCCTAAAACACCATTTGCCTTTTTTGCAGCCACATCACACTGTTGGCTCCTATTCAGCTCATCTCTCCAATAATTCCAGCAAGACCTACAGCCCTGACCGATTCCCACACCATAACCATGTAAGCCCGTTGTAGCAAAAACAGAATTGAACAAGACTGAACAAAACAAAGCAGCTGTTATGACACTAAAGCCTAACAGACTGATAACGGAGTAAGTATAAAATATTGCCCTCGGGTGGTAGATGAAATGTATACAGACAGAAAGAGGTCAACTGTGTGAACTAAAGTGTTAAAAGGCCAAGAAGTGAAAGATGTGCAAATCTAATGAACTCACCCCTCCGGGGTTTGTTTTCCTGTCTTCCCTAACTGTGTGTCCCAGATTTATCTGCCAACTGAGAATAACATTTCATGCATCTGATGGCGTGGGCTCTAGTCTATGAAAGCTTACTGTTCCCATAAATCTGTTTGTCTGGTTTAAGAGGTCATGGGGCTCCTTTGTTTTCGCTGCAACGGTCATAAGCACTCTACTGGAATCTGTACTATTTATAGGAAATCAAAAGTGGGAAGAGGTATTTATAATATGAACGAACAGGCTGGCCAACTTAGGCTTCCGATTTGTATCTCCAAATGCCAAAAGTTGAAGTCTGTAAACAAAGACTACTCTCATCTGTGTAACAAGCCTGCTGGAGATAAGAAGTCTAGAGACCTCTGCATGCTGAGGACTACTTAGGAGCACAGTAATATATTAAAACGGGGACAAAACCCAATGTGAGTCCAGAACCTGCAAAAAGGGACTTTTCCACTCCAACTCCCGGAATGCTCTCAAGAAGATTTTGGGAACTAAAATCTAAAATGCAACTCTTTAAACCTCACAGTAAACCCAGAGATACTTGGTAGGGTGGGAGAACCCAGCTTCCTTCAATGAAACCAACTAAATTATTTTCCTCCTGAAATTTAAGTTTACCTAGGCCTTTAATAACACAAAAATTAAAGAGAAATCCATGAAGAACAAAATCGAATGACAGACATCAGCCGTAACGGTGGGGACATTAACAACAAGCTGTTGCAGAGGGATCGCTTCACTGCCCCGCTCAACCGATCATCCCCTTCGGCACAATAAGCCGTGCCTTTTTCCCTCCCATCAGCATCTCTCTGTTTCTTTCCTCCACCAATCAGCCACCCAGCATCATATGGCCACTGTACAGTGCTGGAAAGAAGCTGCCACCTTTACACCTTCCCCACCCCCCAAAAAAGGGTTTTGATTTATGTGTGTGTTCCTGGGTTGCTGTTTTTGTGGCTTGATTTTTGGGCTGGGTGGGGGGAGGAGGTGTTTCCGCAAGCCTTCCAGTTTCCCTAAACTGGATAATATTTCTTTAGCCATGGCACATGCCTCTGAACCACTGGAAAGGGAAGGAACTTCCAGATTCCGAAGCAATACACCTATGAATAAAAGTGTGTGCTGCTTATTTACCACCTCACAGCGCTTAAAGCACTTTCCAGACAGTTTAATTATGCGTAGTATACTTCCCCCCCACCCCAGCATGAGCTGGGTACTCAATTTAACCAACCTTGGAAGGATGAAAGACTGGGTGAACCTTGAGCTGCTTACATGAATCCATTGTGATTAAACTCAGGTTGTGAGAGGAGTTTCGACTGCAGGACTGCAGTTTAAGCACTGCACCATGAGGCCAGAGAGGAAAAACTGAGAAGGCTGTTGACTTAAATATCAGCTTCCCACAAGCACAGACAGGGCTCCGGGTTAATATATTTATTATTTACTACACTGAAAACAAAGGAGTCTTGTGACCTCTTGAAGCAGAGAGAGAAACTGTAGAGAGAGTAGAAAGTAGAGGGAGCGAGAAACTGACCTGAGATCACCCCAATGAATTTTAGTGTTCAGTGAGAGCTAGAACTCTATATCCCAAAGCCCAGCCCAGCCCGCTTTACCATTACACCACACTGCCTTTCACAAGACCGTTCTAAGAAGCATGCCCAAACAGGAACAGCACACGGGCCGGTTCCCTACCTAGTTTCACGCTTTGTACCCGGCCTCCGATTCGGTCAGTCGCTTCGAGGACCGTCACATCCGTGAAACCGTTTTCCAAGAGAGTTTTTGTTGCAGAGAGGCCCGCAAGCCCAGCGCCGATCACGACTATTCGCGGCTGTCGTTTTCTCCGTAGGCCACGACTAAGAGGATCATCCGTGCTCTCTGCAGATATTTCACTACTTTGCATGCCGTCCAAGCTCTCTTTCTAAGGAACCTGCCAAGGGAAAAAAAAAAAAGACAAAAGAGGTTCACAGCGTTCGGAGGGCAATTCCTTGGTTTCTGCAAGACGTCTCTCTTTTTCCCCCCTCTCGGTCTCTCAAGATCCTTTTCAATCGGCTGCTCCAGCAGAGCAAGAAATTACGGAGATCCTTCGGAGGGTTAGGACCAGCTGATCTGGAAACAAGAATGAAACCATCTAAACAGGATACACTGAATGGGGACAGAATATAAAGGTTTCTCAACCTGAAAGGATCAAAGACGTCGGCGACGGGAAAGGCCTCCACCCGGTCATCAGAGATGGCATTTTAAGAAAATGCACAGAATGTCTGATTTTATGCATCTTTTTATAGGCTTACAGAACGGCATGAGGTGGCAATTTTGTGGTAGAGAAGATATAAAAACACACACCAAAAAAAAACAAAAAACCAGTAACTCCAGACATCATGAAAAGCCTGCTGAAAGAAGGAATGATTTGGTTTTGCAAATCCTTGGCGACCACAAAACACACATTTTGGAGCCTGAAGATAAGAGAGCAGGCAACGTGGCTTGGCTTTAAAAGTTAAAGAGGAAAACAGAGGCATCTTTTGCACCTTCTGCGTGTCGGGCATACCTCTCTTGAGACTGAGCCCAATATTGGCACAATGGAAGTCAGAATGGAAGCCACGGGAATTGTGCCACAGAAAATATGAGGAGGGAGTGGGTGATAAATAGGAACACACTATAGCCTGTGAGAATCTGGCTTCTCGGCCAGGGATCTTACCTGGCAAACAAGACACCTTTTACAGACGTTATTGGGTTGGGGGGGGGAGAGTTACTGAGTAACTCAAACTCTATTCAAAGAACGTGGTCTCCAGTACTGGAGGACTGGGGGTTACAAACAGCCTTCCTGATAATACTTCTGACCAAAAAGCTGCTTACCTGCTGCCCTATAGCGCTTAAAGCACTTTATGGTCAGTTTACAATTTAATTATGCAAGCTACACATTGCCTGCCCACCCCCACAGCAAGCTGGGTACTCAATTTACCAACTTTGGAAGGATGGAAAGCTGACTGAACCTCAAGCCGGCTGGCTACCTGGGATTGAACTCGGGTCATGAGCAGAGTTTTGACTGCAGCACTGCAGTTTAACCACTGTGCCACGAGGCCTATACACGCTTGGACCTATACGGTGCAGCTAAATTTATTTATTTATTTATTTGATTTATCGAGACCACGCTTGGACCTATACGGTGAAGCTAAATGTCCTATTTTACAGAGTGGAGCCCTCTATCTGAATACATCTCCTACTTGAAAGTCTGGTTTGAAAGGAGAAGGGGCTTGAAGCTGCTGACTATCCACACTGAGCATCTGAGCAAGGCGACTTGGTCACAGCCTTCTCCACAGTGGTAAGGTGTCATTAATTAAATACAGTGGTGCCCCGCTTGACGATTACTTTAGATGACGAAATCACTTGATGTTTATATGGGAAAAATCCGCTTGACGACAATCGGTTCCCTGCTTTGGGAACCATTTTTTGCTAAACGATGATCTAAAAACAGCTGATTGGTGGCTCTCAAAATGGCTCCCCGCTGTTTTGTGGACCTCATTTCGCAAGACAGGGAGCGCAAAATGGCCGCTGTATGGAGGATTTTCACTGCATGAGCATGTATTTCCTTTATTGGAACGCATTGACCGGTTTTCAATGCATTCCAATGGGTTGTGTTTTTTTTCGCTTGATGACGATTTCGCTGTACAGCGATTTTGCCAGAACGGATTATCGTCATCAAGCGGGGCACCACTGTACGTGTTGTTAATTCAATTCTGACTTATAGTGTTCCTCCCCAGGTTTTCCAAATACAAAGCACTGAGATGTGGTTGCCTCCTTTTGGTGGTGCCCTGGGGGCCACCAGGCAGCTTGTCCAAGGCTACACATGTGGAATGGCGCAGGATTCCACTGGCCATTCATGCACTGGACAATCTCAGCTGGCCCCTCTCCAAGGAGGCACCGTGGGGATCCAAACTCCTGGCTCAATTCCACAGCTGGGTGCCCAACCCACTGAGCTAAATGAGCACTCCATAAGGTATGCTGCTGCTCTTCTTAAATTAGAGTGGCTATCTTTAGAAAAAAGTATCTTTAAATGAATACAGACACACACACCCTTTGGCCCATTTCAAAAAAAGTCTCCTTTTTTTAGCTACTCTAAACCAAACAGAGTGAAAGTTAAACTTTCTTTTTAATCATATTTCCCTATTTCATTTTGCTTTTGAGCACGTTTCCTATTATGCACATATCCAGTGCCAATCATTTTTCCCCCTACAGGCATGTGTGAGATAAATTCAAGGGCTCTCCACACGCCGGCCAACATGAGCTCCAGACAAGGAATTGCTGGATAGCTGTGGTTTAGGGATGTGGCTGTGGAATCAGATTGGGAGCTCGATTCCCCCTTGTGGCTTCTTGACAGGGTCTATAGACTTTATGATCCGGCCTTCCAACTCCTCAGATCTAAGATGATGATGATGATGATGATGATGATGATGATGATGATGATTAGGTTTTCCAGGCTATATCCAGCTGTTTTTGTTTTGTTTTTGTTTGTTGTGTTTTCTGGAGACAATAAGCCTGTTCATTGAAGAGCAGGGGAGATTACCCAGACCAGAGAATGCAGAGGGATGCAAAGGGTTAAACTCCCCTCTTCCTCCACCAGGTTCCCAAGCTGGATAAGGGCCTTCAACCCAGCTAGGACTATTGACTTAAAAAGACCCCCCCCCAAGTCACTAATTAACACAGATGATGTCACGTCTAGTCTGGCCCTTGCATGCTGTCGGAAACAATGAACTTATTTTGCTCCAACGAAAAAAACATCGGAAAACATTTACAGTACGAAGCAGCTGTATTTGCTGAAGGTGGGTCTCGGGCACTCAAGCCAAGCACAGAGCCGGACACCGAGAAACCCATTCAAAGCCCAGAATCCTCCTGACAACATAACTACCGGCCACGCTGATGGGCGGATCTGGGAACCACGCACCTTTCCACGCTCTATTCGTTGTGATGGCTGTGTTCCCTTGATCATATTCAAACAGGACCTTGCAGGGCTGGAGTGCTTTCTAAATACTCTTGTATTGTGGAGGCTCTTTTAATTAATTAATTTAATTCCAAGTTACGCCAGGGTAACAAACTGAGGCAGGGAGAGGAAGGGGGCAAGGGATATGTCGTGGGGGTGGGTGGATGTCTATCAGCTGGCCGATCCGCCAACCTGCAGGAAGAAACTTGTGCAAAAGGAGCCTTAAATGCATCTGTCAGTACTTGTTGACTGTTCCAGCGCCAGGTTAGACAAATGTCTATGGAAGGCAAGGGTCTCTAAGGAGAGATTCCTCTTTCCTCCGTCCCTCTCATGGCTAAAATCTCAATGGGTGACAGATATATGGGAGGTTGACAGGTGACCAGTGCGGGGAGGTTTTTTTCATCCTAGTTCCTATCCCCCTTTGGCAAGCAGGATGAAAAGGTAAGGGAGAAGTCTGTGAAAGAGACGTACAGTGGTCCCTCGCAAGACGATGTTAATTCGTTCCGCAAAAAACGTCATCTTGTGAAAACATCATCTTGCGAAACGTGGTTCCCCATTGGAATGCATTGAAATCTAATTAATGCATTCCAATGGGGAAAAATCGTCGTCTTGCGAAAATCGTCCATAGAAAACATTGTCTTGCGAAGCACCACAGCAATTGCAAAAAACAATTGTCTTGCGGATTAATTGTCCCACGAGGCAATTGTCTTGCGAGGCACCACTGTATTCAGTTATTTGCAAAAGGATTTCCCATGAGATTCAAGCACGACCACGGGAGAATTGGAACATGAATGGCACCTTATTTCATTCCCCCATAGGTATTCCAACTTCCTTTTGAAATCTCAATACCCATTATTTTCAACAAAGGATTTCCCTTTATTTTTAACTCCTTGATTTTCCTCACTAGCTGAAATAAGCCCTAGGCCACCAAGGGGTAATGGGGGGACTCTTTGCCTATGCGCTTTTATTGTTCTTATTTTGTTTAGTTTTCTTTAAATTGCTTTCTTTTTCCACAATTCTATATGAGTTACAGTATTGATTGTCTAATTTGTTTATGTATATTGTTACTAGTGTCTTTTTAACATCAGAGTGATTTCTGGCAGAAGGAAATATGCTGTAGGTGCCGTTGCCATTCGTTCCAGAAGAGTTGTGAACAGAGGCTTGAAATCTGTTCACTGTTCTGACACTGTGACCTCCTGCCAGACTCGAGGTAGTCAACTCACCCAGCCCTCTACTCTAAACCTGGTGTTGTTGAATGCCTGATCTATATTCAATAAGTCCCAGATCATACAAGATCAGATTCTGGAGAAGGATGCAGATCTGGCAGGCGTAACCGAAACATGGATGGGCATGGAAGGGGGCGTTCCCCTGACTCTTGCCTGCCCTCCTGGTTATGCAGTCCAACACCAGGGTAGACTGGAGGGGTGGGGCAGGGGAGTTGTCATTGTCTACAAAAACACCCTTCAGGTTGCTAGGCGCTTGCTCTGGGGACACTGGCTCTAGAGGCCCTCCATGTGTCGATTGGGGCCAGGGATAGTATAGGGATCTTGCTGGGTTACCGCACTCCCTGCAACCAAGCCATTTCCTTACCAGAGCTGGCGGACTTCGTCTCCGCAGCACTGTTGGGGTCCCCAACGCTTTTGATCTTGGGTTACTTCAATGTGCATACGGAGGTTTCCGGTCCAGCTCTTGAGTTCTAAGAGACCATGGCCTCCTTGGACATGTCGCAACATGTCAACGGCCCTAACGACGTGGGTGGCCATACACTGGACCTGGTGTTCTCCACTGAAGCACAGTGAGTGTGCTCCAATGGTGACTGGCCTAGTGTCTCTCCCCTTATCATGGTCGGATCATCACCTAATTAAATGCAAGCTCACAGTGGCTCTCCCTCCCTGTGGGGAGCAAGGATCTGTTTTAATTGTCCACCCTGAAAGGTTACTGGATCCTATAGGATT